TCGGAGGTGGCCTGGACATGTGTGGGCAGTGGAGGAGACACAGGTCTGCTGTGTATGAAGCTCCAAGCGACTAGAGAATTCTTGTGATTATCACACATGTAAAACTGTTAGCAGAGTCATTGATTCTCATCAACAGAAGGATGCTCCTGAAAGGAATATACTTGATCATGTAGAATATACAGTTATAAACATGACAGACATTGTATTTGTTTTTGATGACAATTGCAAGAAATAGAATGAATCTCAGTTGCCAAGTTTTTAGGGCACAGAATAATGGTAGTGCTATGTCTAGTGGATATAACTATGTGTGAAGTTGCATCTTCTTCTGTTCTTACTGTCAGTAATGAAAATATTTCATCAACCAAACCAGAGGAAAGATTGAATCAAGTTGTAAATATGTTACCAAATTGTCATATGAGGAGATAGTCAGAGCCCCCAAAGATAGGATAAGAGTTTTATCGAAGTGTGTTAGTTAATAAAGATGTTATCTTGGGCACTTGTTAGTGTGTGTGGTATTGTCAGCTCTTTAATATTGGTCATTTGCTATGAAGTCTTACATTCTAAGGAGTCAGTTTCATACCTAATTTTGTAGTCTTTATTCTTAAAGAGGACACATCAAATGTTATAAGTTTGAGATCCCACAAACCTGAATCTATCCTAAACAGAGTGGTTAAGTCACAAACTGAAGTCACAAATATAAGTGAGTCAACCGGGTTCTGATCCAATGGTGGCTTCATGGTGCCTCTCAGATTCCAACAGACACCCATCCACTGGGGCCTATATCAAATGCAGGCTCTGATTCAGGGGCAGTGGGTAGAGCGCAGATAATCTGACTCTGTCGTCCTGTGGGCCATACTCTGAGATGTCAGTGTCTTCAAGCTAATGCACTATGTGGCACGCTCCATTGCAGTGTAATAATGTCAGTATAATTGCTTCCTTATGAACAGGATCTAGCTTACCTCATTTCTTTTTTTTTTCTTTTCATTTTTTTTTAAGATTTATTTATTTATGCATACAAGAATTGGGTACAGGCCAGAGGTGCAGGGGAGTTGGGGATGAGAGGATTCACCAGAGACAGAGTGGGGAACAGAACAGGCAGATTCACTGAAGTACACTGCTGAGGGGAGGAGTGGGTAAGTCAGGAGAGGTCTGCTGTGCCATGTGCTGCGCTCCCTGGCCGGCTGGGGATCGAACTCGTGCTGCCGAGGCTGCAGACAGCTTCATAGGTTGCATCTTAACCCCTTGAGCCACCAGGGAGGCCCTCATCTCATTTCTTTACTAATCTCTCACTCCACTCCTGGAGATGCGTGTAGCCTTAAGTTTTCTAAGCACCACATTTTATTATGCAACTTCCATCTTAAACTTTATGGAACTCTTATGATGGATCAAGCAGTTTCCATAGACCATTATTTAACACTCCCAGGTACTTGGCCACAAGCTCCCAGATACTTGGCTGCAAGGGAGCATCACTCTATCTTGTGAGAACATTGCCCTTCAGGGAGGTCATGTGATTTGCTCGAGGGGGCAGGGTCAGTGGTTGAACTCACATATGCAGCTCCACCTGCCCTCCCTGACTGGTGGCTAGTGGATTCTGAAGAATCCTGAATTCAAACCTGTATCCCCAAGAAGAATGTCCTCTTGAGCCCCCTACCCTCAGTGGGAGCTGTCCTCACCTCACCTCCCCCAGATCTTCTCTGCTTTAGGATTGGTTCAAAATGCTGCTTGCAACCTCAAGAGATGGCAGACAAGCACTGGGTTTTCCAATGTGACAAATGTAACCTGGCTAACCTCTGTTTGCTCGGTTTTCTTCCTCTTTGGGATAATTCCTTAGCTTGATTGGGCATCAGTTTCCTGGTCTATTATATGGCCTTAATATGCCCCATAGGGATTTTTTTGAGGGTTAAATGAGGCATTATATGACAAGTTACATGATATTACTTGTGTTGGCCCTATGACACCATGGAAGTGGTCATTGTTATCTCTGAGTTACACTGACCTTGGCAATCAAATGAGTACTGCTTATAGCGTGTAGGCCAGGCTTCCTTTTTCTGATGTGTGTTAACAAGACCCTGTGTTAAACCCAGGACATCTGGAAACATAGCAAACACTCAGCAGAGTGCTGAGCAGAGGCTAAGGGCTTGGTGGCAGCTAATTGTCCCCTGGCCGATGTCAGCTTTGCCTGCCTGTCCCTCTTAGCATGTTTGAAGTTGTGTAGCTGGCTGACAGCCTCTGACATTCTCTTCCTGCTGCAGTCTTCCCAAATATACCAAGAATCCCAGCCACTCTGCCTAATCACCACAGGTCCTCCTGATGACAACAAGCTGCAGTGATTTTATTTGTTGTCTTTAGAGTGCATGTAGCAATATTTTTGGAGACTTTAGATGTTTGTCCTATGAATACATTTTCCAGAAGAAAATGCCAACAGATGGGGGCAGGCTGTGTTTCCTGGCTGTCCTGACCCTTGAAGGTTTCTCTTCATTAGCATCCCCAGAAGGACATGTAACATGATGATTGTAGTCTCAGGAAGTCCTGCCTCAGGCTCTGTAGCCCCAGAGGTCTGGCATCCATGTGTGGGTCCGGTCTGGCCTGGATCTGGGTTATTTTAAGCTGCTCCTGCAATGCAGCTGCAAATCCAGAGAAAGAGGCTCACAAGCCTGCTCACTGGGGAACAGCTTGCTAAGCACACACTGTCATTGGCATAGAGAGCAGGCAGACAATGCATTTACAGTCATTCCAAGAGATTCATTCTGCTGAATGGCCTCTTTAAGGCACACCTCCCATTCCTTTGGTGCCAATAGACTTAAAAAAAAAAAAATCCCACTGGTAAATTTCAAAATGCTACAGGTAAAAATAAACTGCTTCATTTAGTTCTTTTGTTATTTGTTTGGAGTTTTGTGTATTTCATTAGAATTATTTTTGCACCTGGTTCTGTCCTTTGGGGAAAGGGAGAGTCTAGGACTAGATGAAGGAGATGACCTCAACTGTATTCCATGTGAAGAATTAACTTTAGGACCGTGCCAGTGAAGCCCTGGGAATGCAATTTGCTTACTCATCCACTTCTTAATTTGGTGTCTGAATCAACAGACTTTGGCCAGAAAGAGTAAGAAGGGACGTTGTGAAATTTCCTTTCTTGGAAAGCTTTGTTTAATAGGCACCTGTTAGTACTGAATGTCAGACAGAACTCTGGGCTCAGAAGAGTGAATTCCATAATCTGAAATTCCTTCTCATAATCATTTCCACCAGGCTAACATTAAAAATTTCAAGCCTTTCTGCTTTGTTTCATTCATTCATTCAGTCAGTCAGTCAGTCACATCACTGCTTATTAAATGTGAACTATGTGCTGGTACTCTGGGGGTACTGTCCTGCCCTCCAGTGGCTTGAAAGTCAGTGTGGGAGACAGACATGTAGATAGCGTGGTCAGGGGCGCTTTGAGGAAAAAGGCCAAGGTCAGCGGTGCACGGGACAGCACATAGTCAGTTTGGGGGGACAGTCAAGGCTTCCTGAAAGGAACCAGGATAAATAAGTGGAGCTGCCCAGAAAGGAACTTTGGAGACTAGAGATCTGTAAAGATATTTTTAAAAGTGTGACAAATGGTACCTCATGGAAACCCTCTTTCCAACCTCCTTGCAGTCTTAGAGACCCATTGCCTGTGAAGCAGTGGAGGCTGGCAGCTCTGTGGAGGCATAGGACGCATTGACCTTTGCCTCAAGAAGGATGTGGGTGACACCTGAGGCTGTACACCCCCACCTGAGACAAAGAAGACTGTTTGCTGAGGTCACAGTCAGCTACATGAAGGGAAAGCCTGAGGCAGAAGTCACTGGAGCTCTGCTTCCTCCCGTTTGTTTTTCACTTGCTTCCAAGTATCGACTGAATACCTGCTACACTTGCTTCTCTTGTCTCTGGGGAGACGGCAGTCTGAGCACAACCAACTGCTGCCCCTTTGGACCTTTATACAGTGGGGGAGAGTGAGGATCAACGACAAGTCAGCCTGTGGTGTGTCACGTGGGATGGAGAAAGACAAAGAAAATGAGACAGGGAGTGCAGGGGTGAAGCGGGGTGACAGGAGCACACTGACAAGTGACATTTGAGCAAACACTCAAGGGAGTAATCCAGGTGGGTTCCTGAAGTCAGTGTGAGTCCCGGCAGGAGAGATTTCAGTGCAGGCACCAAGGAAGCAATGTGCTCCATGTGTTCATGGAGAGGCCAGGGGCCTGGAGGTGGGATGTGTCGGGGCAGGAGCACAGGGCCCTGGGCCTGAGAAAGGAGGGTCTGGGAGATTCCAAGCCTGAGCAAGAGGAGGAGTCCCTGGAGGTGGGCAGAGCGGTGGCATGTTGTGACCCATGTTTTAATATCAGTTCCCAATCAGTGGAGGTCAGTGAAGGTCCAGGCTTCTGAGCTGAGCAAAGTCGGGGAATTGTGGAAATGGATCAAGCAAAAATATTTAAAGAACATCTAGTTTGTGAAAGATAATTTATTCAGTACTTTGATTCTTATCCCGAAGGACCTCTGGGTGAGGCGGAGCACATGTGTGTGCACAGGGATGACAACCCAGCGAGGGCAGTACATTGAGGAGGGGAGGGCTTCAGAGGTGGTGTTTGGAAGGACGAGGAGGAGGAGCTGAAGCGCAGCTCAGGTGCCACAGGTGTCGGGGTGAGCTTAGTGTGTTTCACTTGTATCTGGAGAGTTGAAGATCACATTAAGCAGAGGTGAGCCCTGATAGCCTTTATGGGGGCAGGGGAAGGGGAGTCAGAAAAGCATAACCTGTCTCATTTGGGAGGAGGAATGTAAACATCTATTATAGCACCTGCCAAAATGAAAATTTGAGCTTTACTTGGAAAACTGCTGGTCAGGATTTGGCATGGGAAGTAATCTCAGCCAAGCATTCAAAGCAGCGATTTCAGACCACAGACACCGACAAGCCAAGGCAATAGGTGGTGGGTGCTTCAGTCAGCTTTTGTTACTTAACAAATCACACAAAACACAGTGGCTTGGAACAAGGATTTGTTATTCCTCATGGTGATGCTGGCTGGGAGAATCATCAATGGGACTGGCCTGGTCTCATTCTGGTGGCTGTATTCAGCAGGGGGCGTGGCCTGGAGATGACCACAGTTGGGATGCTGGGCCTTCTAGGCCTTTCCATGCAGGGTTGAGGTTTTATTATTACTCACGTATGATGAGGCCAGTAACTCAAGAGATGATTGCCATTGAAAAAAACGTTACACTCACAGTTCCCAAGAGAGAGAGGTCAGTCAGACCACGCAACCACGTGGGGAAGTCTCAGGAGTGAAGGAGACAGAGGAATGTGGGCTGGAGTGTTTATTGTGGATTCTGTGGGAAGGAATGGTGAGGTGAGTACATAGGTTTAGAACTGACAAGTTTGGCTAAGTTGAGCAGGGTCTGACACATAGGGACTGTCCTTCATGATCTAGACGCTGGCTCTGGGGTGATCAGGGCAGGCAGAAGTGTCCCAGAGGCAAAAGTCTAATAGAGGAAGTGATCGGGGTGTGGGCTCTGGACCGGTTGGTTGTGTAAGACAGGCACGCTCATGGAAGGGTTCCTACCGCTTCTAGGAGTTGGCTAGCCCTGGGAAGGTTAGGCCCTCATGGTGAACAAGCAGATGGCAAAGCAATAACAGAAGACTGAAAGTAAGACATGTGGTTAATACAGGCCTCTCCCACAGGGTCTTTCACTAAGGGGTCTAGAGTGGGCTTCCTTAAATGATGTCCAGGGCAATTCAAGGGAGCAGGAACAGAAGCCAAGAGCTTCTTACATCCTAGTCTTAAAGTTGTACACTATCCCTTCTACTGCATCCTGTTAGTCAAAGTAAATCCAGAGCTGCCCCAGATTCACACTTGCTGAGAGGAGAGGAAGACTTGCCATATGGGCTGGGATGGCTGTTGCAAGTGGTCTACCAGTCTGGTTCTAGAATATTGCTATGATCTTTCCGAATCAATCAGATCTAATAGGAAGGGCAGAAAGAAATTGAGTTCCAGCTCACTGGCCTTTGTTGGTGTATGAACAGGGTGTAATTTCTCTCCCACAGTTGGTCCCAGCATTGCAGGTTGGTTGGATATTTGCCAAAGCCCGCAGGGAACTTTTGTTCTTTTAGAGAAAGCTTGGCATGGCTGTGAGCTGCTGTCCCCCAAAGCCCTAGAGGCCTGGCGTCCCAGGAAAGGGCCAGCCTGCTCTGGAAGGGAGCCCAGCCCTATTTGCAAACTATTTGAAGGCCTTAGGGTCAGGCTCTCTCATACTGTTTTCTTATCATTAGCTAAAGTAACCCTATAACTTCCCAATAAAGTGCAGATGCTTTATTATAAAAGTGCCATTTGTAAAGCGTATGGAATTGGGCCAGTAATAGTCAACATTCCCATCAAACATCTGGGCCAGTGAAGCACTTTCTCAACTGTTCTTTCATTTGTTTTTATGATTGTCTAGGGAATAGGTGTCATTATGCAAGTTTTTCCTATGAGGACATGGAGACTCTGGCAGATCAGGGGCTCACTGGGATGTCTAAATTGGCTCAAGGTCCTAGGAACTGCCCTGGGCCCTTGTGTGAGGTTATCAGAGCCCTACCAGTCCTCCTCCACTTCACATCCAGGTTTCAGTGAGTCACTTCTGTTCCCCATAACCCACTCTCTGTCTGGCTGTACTCATTAGGAGATTATTTCTCCCTCTGAATCAGGTGCTTTGGAGAGTCCTCTTCATGCACTAAGAATTTAACCTTTGCCCTGGGATACTGCCCTGAAACCCCCAACTGTATCCCACCCCTGCCTAGTGCTCTCCCTACCTCTTGTTCCAAGGGCCTACTTTTTCCTGGAAGACAATTAAAGTCCCTCAAGAACACACAACCTGTGAAAAGTTAAACTGGCTTTAAATTCAGGCCTCTAAATCACCTGTGGGAGACAGCGCATATTCTTCCTTGGCGCAGAAGCTTCATTTTTGTGAGTCATTTGTTCTGCTTCTCAGACTCTGAGCGAGACGCCCACCTGTCTGCTTCAGAACCTCCACCACTGTAGCCATCCCTGTCAGTCTTATTTGAGAAGAGAAGGCTGAGTCACTGCTGAGTCACCCTCCAGCATAGTACACTGTCCTCAGACACGCAGGGACATTGATGGAGGATAATGATGACAGCCTCTCACAGTAAGACCCTGTTTCTTTGGGAATCCGAGCATAGTTTGTAAATGCTGCTGGCCTGTGATCACATTCAGCATTTCCTAGAGCTTGGAGGCTTCTGCAATCCCTTGGGGACTCCAGGGTTTTCATAGCTGCTATATCTTGGGATTGCCCTCCAACTTGGAGGCTGACTGTGCTCCTAGTCTTGTCCCTGGACTTGGGTCTCTCAGAATTTCCTTTGTGCACAGAGGTGACTTGCCTGTCAGAAAAAAAAAAAAATCTCAGAGAGCTACAAAAGAGAATCCACACTTCCCTTAGGATGGCTTCACAAAGATGCTGTCCAACGATAGGGTCTCAAGAGCATCCAGGCGTGATCTGGGCAGGTGCCGAGACAACTGGGAAATCCTGCCTCTGTGATTGCTGATCCTGAAGTCCCACCTCTGTGGCCACTCCAGCTGATGGCTCTTTTCCCCAGAGGTGGACAAACTCTTTCTCCCAGCACAAGTCACCTTCAACTTGACTTCTGTTTGGGGATCTACTCTGATTGTTTTGTGGTGTTGGCATTTCCCCTTAGGAATGTCAAAGTCAAAGGGGGTGACATTCCCCTTAGGAATGTCAAATGTCAAAGTCAACAGGGGGTGACTTTGACCTCCCCTGAGTGACATTTTGGCTGTATCCAGAGACATTTGTTATTGTAACTGCTGGAGGAGGCACTACTGGCATCAGTGGATGAAGGTCAGAGATACCACTGACCCTCCATCCGTGCACAGAACAGCCCTCCACAGTAAAGAATTATCCCATCCAAAATATCAAGAGGGATGAGGTTAAGAAACACTGCCTATCACGACACAACCCTTCACTCAGTAAAAGATTCTTCCCCCTCATTAGTACCTATCACAGTACCTTGTACATGAGCCATGCTTGTTTTCTTTCTCCTGAACTAGAGCCTCCTTTTCCCATCCATTCATGTAGTTCCTATTCAAGTGCAAGGAAAATGATTTCTTACCATGATCCGTACTATCCACTAGCTACTGGAAGCCAGGTGATGTTTTCACAGATCTACCTCTTAATACTCATGGATTATAACAACAACCTTATGGTCATCATAAGATTTGCATATAAAATAGCCCATGAGCTGTTATTAGTGAAGTGCCTCTAGCCCAGCCCCACCTGAACCCAGTCCCTGCCATTATTTTTTCCTTACCTCTTAAGTAGGCAGCACTACAGCTGCTCCATGGACTCATCACCTCTTCCTCTGCCTCCGCCTCTTCGTCACCATGAGCACTATCAGGCTAGCCCACAAGTACTTTTAAGTCCATGATAATGGTGGTGAATGGGAAGCAGCTTTGCAGAGCCTCACTGATAGTGTCCTGGATTTGAGTGTGCAAAAGTGCAAGCACATTCGATGTGAGCACATTTTTATTAGGAGTTTTGGTATCTGAACCTCTCGCGACCAGGTCCTTCTTTCTAACACACACACACACACACACACACACACACACACACACACACCCCACTTTGTCTTTTACACTTTTCAACAGCCATGAATAGAGCCTGGAAATTGCCCCTTCCTCTGGCGGGTCAGAAATTAGGATTTTGCGTGTTTTAACTTATCCCTGACTCAATGAGATGCTCAGGACCTCTTGCATCTAAACCTAGAGATTGGGGCAAAGAGAAAGAACCTACCTGGGGTAGGGACAGGTACTTAGAGGGCAGTTTGTCCTCTATTTCGTGGGTTTCCCAACTGTCTAGTGGAGAAAGCAGCAGTCTGAAGTGACAGCTAAAGTACTGTCAGACATAATGCAGTGACTGTTCCTCTCTGTTCCTCAGCCACCTCCTCCCAGAGCACACTTAGGAAGAGTTATGAAGTGTCACACTGAGAAGCAAGACTCGAATAGTAGTGAAAACACTAGAGCTAGTTATTACTGATCATTTCTGTATGTACCTTATACATCTGCAAGAAGTTTTCAGGACCTAGTTAGTAATAAAGTGCCTTGAGATCACCTTGCCAATTCCTGCTGTTACTGTCTCTGCAGCCAGACTTTCTGAGTGTAGTCCTAAATGCGTGCTTCCTGGTTACTCAGACTAGAGAGGAAGTGCACTATGCCTCCACAATCATGTATGTGTGTGCGCACGCAGACCTACCAAAATCCCAGTTAGCTGGTGGTCGACACCTAGAGTGGGTGCTATAGGTGCCCTGCCCAGGTCTCTTACTGGATGGATACTCTCACCTCCCAGCTTCTGTGAGCAGCTGCTCAGGCACTGCCCCCTTCTTGAAGAACTGCCCTTGGCAGGACAAAAACCACCATGCTCTGAGGATTACCCGCTCCTTGGCATTCCATAACCCAAAACTGATGGTCAACTGGACCCTAATAGTTACGTGTTTCTGAAAATACATGACTCCAGAACATAGTGGCTTAAAATAACAATAAATATTATTACCTCACAATGTCATAAGTCAAGGATTCCAGAACAGCTTTGCTGAGTGTTTCTGGTGTGGGTCTCTCGTTAGTTGCAGTCGGAGGTCAGCCAGGACTGCAGTCCTCTGGAGCCTTGACTGGAGGGTCAGCTCCCAAGTACCCGCCCACCTGGCCAGCAGAACAGTGCTGGAGGAGGGCACGGTGCTCAGGTTCTGTGACAGGGGTGGTGCCCAGGGCTGCGTGAGAATCTTCATGGCCTGGTGGCTGGCTTTCCCCAGAGGGTGCAGTGGGGGGAAGCAGCCAGATGAGAACAGGGCAGAGAGGCAAAGCTTGTGCTGGCCCTCCAGAAGGCATCTGGCACCCCTCATGCCTCACTCTAGTCCTTTGAGGCAAGTTACTAAGCTCTGTCCACAAATCACTAGGAATTAAGCTTTACCTTTTGTTGTTGTTTTTAAAGTTCTATTGTTTTGCCACTAGTTTATGTAACTGTATAATTTTGGGAGTACAGCATCACGCCTCTGTATGTGCACGTGCCTCACTCACTCAGCCCCACTGCCTATTCAGGGCCATAGCCCGCCCTTCCCTTACCCTGCCTCTATCCCCCCATCCCCTCTCATAACCAGTATATTAATCATAGAGACTAAGAATTATTCTTGTCTTGCCCATATGTTCTCTTTGGTTATTTGTATTCCACAAATGAGCCAGACAATTTGGTATATCTTTCTCTTTCTGAATTATTTCACTTAGCACAGTTACCTCAACAGCTATCCTATTTTGTCCCAAAGGGCACTATTTCATCTTTTTAATAGGGTAGTAGTATTCCATTGAGTATATATGCCACAATTTTTAAAAATATTTAATTTTATATAATTCTTACATCATTTTTCATCTTTGTACAATTATGCATTTTCATTTTGGTTATATTCCCCATACAATTGCACCCCCCCCCTTATTTTAACTCTAGTTCTTCTTCTCCCTGCCACTCCCTAATCCCCCCCCCCCATAGTGTGTCTCTGGTTTATAGTTGCTTGTTGATTTTGATTATTACTTTGCATTGATTGGTCTTTTTCCTGGTCTCTTATTTAGGTTTTCTAAATTCCTGCTATGAGTGAGACCATCCACTATTTTTCTTTTTCTTTCTGGCTTATTTCACTGAGCATGATCCCTTCTAGCTCCATCCATGTTGCTGCAAACTGCATGTGTTTATCTTTTTTTGATTGCTGAGTAATATTCCATGGTGTATATGTACCACATCCTCTTGATCCAGTCATCCATTTTTGGGCATTTGGGTTGTTTCCATATCTTAGCTATTGTAAACAGTGCTGCTATAAACATAGGGGTGCAGGTGCCCTTTGGAATTACTGTTTTCTGTGTCATTTGGGTAAATACCTAGGAGTGGAATTGCTGGATCATATGGAAGCTCTATCTTTAGTAGGTCAAGAAATCTCCACACAGCTCTCCACAGTGGTTGGACCAGTTTGCACTCCCACCAGCAGTGCAGGAGAGTTCCTTTTTCTCCACAACCTCACCAACATTTGTTGTTGCTAGTTTTTTTTAATATGTGCCATTCTCACTGGTGTAAGATGGTATCTCATGGTAGTTTTGATTTGCATTTCCCTGATTACAAGTGATGTTGAACATTTTTTCATATGCCTGTTGGCCATTTGCATTTCTTCTTCAGAGAAGTTTCTTTTTAGCTCTTCTGTCCATTTTTTGACTGGATTATTTTCTTTGTTTTCGTTGAGTCTCATCAGCTCTTTGTAGATTTTTGTGATCAGTCCTTTATCATTAGTGTTGTGTGCAAAAACGTTCTCCTAGTCAATGGGGTTTCTCTTTGTTTTGGTTATTGTCTCTTTTGCTGTGCAGAAGCTCTTTAATTTGATGTAGTTCCAGTTGTTTATCTTTGCCTTCACAATCTCTGCTTGCTTTGGGTGATGTGCCTGTAAAGATGTCTTTGATGTGCATGTCATGTAGTGTTTCGCCTATATTTCCTTCTATGTATTTTATGGTTTCAGGTCTTATGTCTAGTTCTTTAATCCATTTTGAGTTGGTTTTTGTGCATGGTGTGAGGTAGTAGTCGAGCTTCATTGTTTTGCATGTAGCGACCCAGTTTTCCCAGCACCATTTATTGAACAAACTTTCTTTGCTCCAGTGCATATTCTTTGCTCCTTTGTCAAAGATTAGTTGACCATAAATCTGGGTTTATTTCTGGATTTTCTATTTGATTCCATTGGTCTGTGTGTCTGTTCTTGTTCCAATACCAGGCAGTTTAGATGATTATGTATGCCACAATTTTTTAAATCCCATCACCTGTTGATGGACATTTGGGTTGGTTCCATGACTTGGCTATTGGGAATAATGCTGCTATGAACACAGGAGTGCATAAATCTTTTCATATTGGTGTTTTCATATTCTTTGGATAGATACCTAGCAGTGAAATTGCTGGATCATATGGGATTTATTTTTTTTTTTTGAGGCATCTCCATACCCTATTCCATAGAGGCTGCACAAAATGACGTTCCCATCAACAATGAATTAATATTCCTTTTTCTCTACATTGTCACCAACATTTGTTGTTTCCAAGCTATTTGATAAAGGCTATTCTCACATGAGTGAGGTGGTATCTCTTTACCGTTTTGATCTGCATTTCCCTTATAACAAGCAATGTTGAAGTTCCACCTTTTGAAGGGATGAGGAACAAAGAATTAGAGGACTTATTTTAAAACTACCACAAGGACCAACAATGTGGAACACTCACTTCATGTGCTCAGGCTGTGGCTAGTTTCCTGCTGAGACTGCCTGTTTACTTAGCTTCCCCCTCCTGGCTTCCCTCCTCCTGCCTCCTCCTGAACATTTTCCCTTAATAAATTACTTGAACAAGAATCCACATCTTAGATCTGGTTTCTTTAGAAAACCTATACTTAAAAAAAAGAATTTCCTTCAATTTTCAGATTTACGACATTCTCAACATCCTTTCTTAGCCATCCAAAGGCTAAAATGTTTAAATTTCCGGTTCAGAAAGCATTTGGACGAAGGACGGCTTGCTTCCATAGCAACAGCAACAACATTTCTTAAGTCTTCTCCAATGCAGGCCTCAAGAAGGGGAAAATATGCTGTGATTCTCTTAAAGTGATGCCCCACCCTCCTAGTGTCCTATGTAGAAAATGGAACAAGGAAAGTTGGAAATGATTTTCAGTGCCGGTACTAATATTTTATGGATGGCCGCATTTTGTTGTTCATTCATCAGTTGATGGATATTTAGGTTGTTTCCACTTTTTGACCATTATAAATACTGTGCTATGAACACTTTCAACCAAGTCTTTGTGTGAACATGTTTCATTTTGGGTGGCCATGTGGAAGAGGATTGCAGAGTTAATATGGTAACTTTATCTTTAACATTTTGAGGAGCTGACATGCTGATTGCATCATTTTATAATCCCATCAGGAATGCATGAGAGTTCTAATTTCTCCACATCCTTGCCAACACTTTTATTGTCTGTCTTTTTTATTTTAGTGGTATCTCTCTGTGGGTTTGATTGCATTTCCCTAGTGACCAATGGTGTTGAGTAACTTTTTATGTAGTTATTTGCCATCTGTATATCCTCTTCAGAGAAATATCTATTCTAATCCTTAACTTATTTTTAAATTGTGTTGTTTGTCCTTCTGAAGTTGATTGTTAAGAATTCTGTATATATTATTAATTCAGTCACTTATTGGCCATTAAAAAAATCATATTTCCATTAGAGAAAGCAAAATCCCTAGAAGTGACTTGGCATTTGGGTTTTGGTTAGCTCAAGTCTACTTTCATTTATACATACTATTTTTTAAAAAGCATTGCACTTCCACAGCTTTTACTTGACTCACATCCATTCTGCCGACTGTCTCCTGCTCTGCTCAACAGTGATCACGCTCACACTCTTCACCTCCAAATATTGTTATTTGGAGCATCTACTAAGAAATAGCATCTGGAGGTTTGAAAATGAATGAGGCACAACCTTACCTTTCTCCTTCCATTTCTCTGTAATGGTTGGCTCTCCTCCCCAACCAACCTGCAGAATGCTTTCCTCAGAATATAATACACGAGATGCTTTGCCTGAATTGGGTACAGGAATCTCAGTTCCTCTATTCCTCAATCTTCTCCCCTCCCCTTCCAACCCAGGGATCCTGAGGCATATTCTTGGACTCCCCAAGCCTTTGCAAAGAGAGCTTGCAAACTCCTGCTCCAGGACAATCCCTGAAAGAACATAAACTCCTTAGCAAATCTGTTGGGAGACAAAGAACATAATTTAGACTTGTCATAAAATTTGCTAAATTTGACTATCTGTGTGCCCTTTGGCAAATATGAGTCTGACGGCTGAGGCAACTAATCCCTATGCATGTGGCAAGCTTCATAGGAAAGAATCAAATGAAATAATTCATTTGAATGTGGTTTGCAAAGTGTAAACTCTAAACAAATAGAAAGGTATTCCTTCGGTAATGCCCCTTCTTTGACAGACATTTCCAAGAATATTGAAGAGAAAGAACTTCACACTGATGGCTTCTCCTTTGATATACACTGGCTGAAACATTTCTGGCTGCTATGGCTGCTAGTGCTTGCCATATAGGTTTAGAACATTAGGTCTGTTACTTATAATCTGTGTCTGGCCAGTGACCTGCTACTTCCCTTGTTACAGCTAAAGGATAAGCCTCCCCAAGGTGTCCAAAATAGGCCTTCCCAAAATGTTTCACTTTGGCATATGCATTATTTCAAGCTAATGTGATTGAGTTCCTGTGGGTTGAAGAGAAACCTTTTACCACTCCCTTAACTACCAGGAAGAATGAAAAGTGGGGGTGTTACCCAGATTTAGGGTTATCTCCAAAAATAACCTTTCTACGAGAGAAGCCAATCTATATGGCAGGGGAGGCATTTGGTTATAACGAATCTGGTCCTGTTGTCCTGTGAGCCTGTCTCCTC